CTTCAAGCCCTGATGCCTAACCACCAGGCCCCGGTCATCAGCAACTATTATAACTGAGAAGGGAAGCTGAGCATTCTACTCACAAAGGCAGGGACAAAGAGGAGACGCACAATGAACGCCACCCTCAGAGGTGCTTGGCACACACTGGACACAGATTTGGGGCTCGACACCATCAGAAAAGCGCACCCGAAGGCCTGCTCTGGTGCCTCCCTCCTGAACCCCCAGCCTTCAAGGTCTGGCCCGAGGCCCTCGCCCTACCCTTCAAAGCTTCCCCTCTGCACTCTGACAAAAAGTATGGATGGGGTCCAGTCTCCGTACAAAGGAGCCCCTAGGTCTCCCAAAGTCTAGACACAGCCCTGAGGCTGCTATGCTGATGGAGACCACTGTCAAGCAGCTCTGAGGAAGATTTAATGTTAACCAATTGGCTTTTCATGTTTATGAGTGAGTTTCCCCAGGCTTTGGCACCTTGACTGGAGATGGGTGGCAGGCTTGTCATAAGTGAACCTCCATGAGTCACTGGTCCCCACTGAGGCCTGTATTGGCCTGTGAAGCTGGGACACCTCAAAGGACAAGATAAGGCCACAGCTGGGGATCTCCGGCCCCAACCCCAATTAACTAAAGGAGACTATAGCTGCAGGGATCTCACTCCTTCAGGTGAAGGCCTTCCTGGAGATAACACATAGTTCTCCTAAATTAACATAAAGTATCACCTGGAGAAGTCCTGAAAGGGATTCCCAAGTCCTGCCCAGATTCCTGCAGTATTCTGGATTCTTCAGTATCCCCCTCCTTTGTTTGAAAACCAAATAAATACAGGCCACCCAGGGAAGTTTTTGGTCTTAACCAAGAGAATCTTGAATTCTGTGAGAGGGTTGAACCCTCCTGGAGCCCTAAAATCATTTCAAAATTGTCTCATTTATTTCAGCCTTTGCCATCCACTCTTTTGGGAGACTGTGGGTCTGATCATCCTGCAATAACTAAGGGAAAATATTAACGTGATACTATGCTGACCTCTGATCACGGCTCTGGGAGCGCTGCTCACACACATACTCTCCTGAGGATGGACCGGGCAGCAGCACAAACCTGTGGCTGCTTTGGGGACTGGAATGCCAGCCTGGAACACAGCTGGCAACCATAACCTCGTGGCAATAATAGAAGCCAGCTGACACCTTGGACAGAGGGCCAGAATTTTTAAGGAGGATCCTAGAAAGTTAGGTCAGACTGCAATGGAGAGGACCGAAAGGGAAAATGTCCCTGTGCTGCCAACAGCGACTCTTCATTAGCTGAGGAAGAGCTTCTGGCAGTGCACGAGCAGAATGTGGCCTGCGCCATGTCACTATTTTTAGCACTTTATGACAAATGTGCTCAGCTGTCCCTCTTCAGCACAAGACTCAGATTTGCTCCATCGGAGCTGCCAGAAAATAGTTTCACTTGAACTTGGGGCCTTCGTGTCTGCTTTCCCTGGGTGTCAAGGCTGCAGGGGGTGGGGGTGGAAAAGAGGCCACCCTGGGTCCCCCTGTCCCCACACCCCAGGGTGCACATGCATGCACATGCCCTTGCGGTACCTGTGCCATTAGGAACACGTCTGCCTGGAGCCAGCTAACGAACATGCGTCACTTTCACGCTGAACAGTTACTGACTTCCACCAACCAGCGGTAAAAGCCTCTCCTCTATGAAGCTGATGTGAGAGAACAGGGGAGAACACTAAACAGCGCCTGTGGTTGGGAGCACAAGTACAAAAAGCACGGAACAAAGAAATCCAAACTAAATATGGTTTCTATTACACTTGCTGAATTTAACTTTAAAAAAAAAAAAAAAGGAAAGAATTTACAGGCTTTCTTCACCAGGCCAGAGCTCGGTGTCTCGGGATGTGCAGCGGGAATGGATAGAAGCCTGGGCTTTCCTGGTGGGTTTGGGGTTTTGTCCCTAGCCTGCAGGTTTCTGGCCATGTCTCCGTCCTCCCACAAGCTAACGGGGACCTATGCTAAGAGGCACCTGCATGTGAATCATCCAAGCTTTGCCCAGCCTTTCCCATCCTGCACCATGGACCCAAATCAGACCCAAGAACGTCCCCCACGTGGTCAAATGGCCTTTCCTCAGCCTCAGGATAGCATGGCCCCAGGAAAGACTGCTGGAATAAGGGCTCTTGGGAAGTGGCTCCCATGATACCAGGAAATGGGGAACATCAGAAGTAGCCCTGGGCCACCCCCACCCATCACCACTCTTTCCTGCCATAGCAAGTATCACGCTGGGCCTCGAGAGGGGACGTGGGCACTGCAGACAGAGGCCCCAAGCCTGACACTGTCAGAGACTTTACGACAGGCTGCACATGCCTAGTCTTTGGAGCCACATGGATCTCCTCAGGAAACATGACAAGCTGAGGCTAAGGGCTGTGATCATCCTGTGAGACCAGGACCCGGGGTCTGGGAGCTATGGAAAGCCTAAGAGAGCGGTGAAGTACTTTTAGCTACATGATTCTTCTTCTGCCTCATGACGGGTAAGCACAGTCAGACAGTTTGGTCCTCGCCTAAGGACAAGAGGTGGCTTGTCCTATCTAGGATGATACAAAGTATCCCTTGTTCCCCCGCCATGATATGAATACCACTTGTCTTTTCCAAAGCTCACACTGGAGTGTAATCTCCATCATGAGGCAGAAATCTAATGAAGGCATCTAGAGGTGGGGCCTGGGAGAGATGGAGATTATGGTTGAATCCTAGTGGCTGTATAAGAAGAGGGAGAGGGACCAGATACACACATATACACACGCACATGCATGTGCACACAAGCCACACATACTCCCTGACCCCTGTTGCACGATGACTGCCACCTGGGGATTCTGCACACAAGGCCAGGACCAGATTCAGCTCTTCAACCTTAGACGAGCACTGTGAGCTGGAATAAGCCTCTTTTCTTCATAACTTACCCACCTGTGGAACTATGTCATTAGCCACAGAAAACAGACAGAGCCGCCCTGTCAAAAGCTCCTTCCAAAGCTAGGCGTGGTAGTATAGGCCTATAATCTCAGCACTCAGGAGACTGAGGCAGGGAGATCGCTGTGAGTTTGAGGCCAGCCTGGGCTACATAGTGAGTTCAAGGCCAGCCTGAACTCACTCTTTTGAGATCCTGACTCAAAACAAAAACAAAACCAGGAAGCTGTTTCCAAAAGACAGAGTGGGTGACCCAAGAGTATGAGAATAACCCACCTGCACCTCCTGCTACTGTGCGTGGAGTTCAGGCTCACCGCAGCCACCCAAACAGCCAGCAACAATGCACAGGCACCCAACATGCCAGGCAAGGTGCTAAGTGCTGCCATGGGTCCCACCCTGTTAATCCTGAGGTCAGGGCTACTAGACCCCATTTCACAGATGCGGCGACTAATTCCCAGAGGGGACACAGGCCAACAGTGAGGGGGCTTACCACGTGCCAGGTGCTGTCCTAAGCCCGTTACCAATACAAACCCATTTAATTCTCATAAGGTCACCCTAGAAGATGTGTGAACTGTGGTCATCTCCACTGTACAGATGAGAAGATCGAAGGGCAGAGTTCGGTAACTCAGCAGAGCCACCCAGCTGCCCAGTGACAGGTTGCCATGGACGGGGGTGCCTGGCTCCCAGGCCCAAGCTCTCCACCACCATGTGACTTCCAATGGTCACGAGGCTGGGGTCCAGCGTTCCCCTCCCCCAGCAGCCAACCTTCCTCCCATCCCCTCTCCATTTCTCAACATATGCCCCATGCTCACTCTCCTGGAGGACAAGAATGCTGGCAAAGAAAGGAAAATAACTAAAATAGAATGTAGTCACCACACTAGAGCAAAACCACCAACCACAGCACAAAGCACTTTCTATGATTTAAAAAAAAACCTAAATACATAAAAGGCGGCAGTAAAGAACCACGATCAACTCAAGTCAGTGCTAATGTCTGAAAACTCTGTGTCCTCCGGAAAATCCCCAGCATTCCATTCCAAAGGCCTGGCCCGGAGGGACCTGGGCGGGTGGGTAAGTGTGGCATGGCCAGGCTTCCTCGCCAAACAGCCCTGAGGCCACAGGAATCCGTGCTGCCCGGGTCACTTCCTGACTGTGGAGCATTGGGACCTCCTCTTAACCCTGAGTGTCCGGTGGACCAGTGGCTCCTGACTCTTCCTTTGCTTCCGGTCTGCCAGGCAAGAGCAGCAGGCCTTTACCAAGTGGGCTGGCTGTTGCAGAGACCATCAAGGCCTGCCAGGTCTGGAAGCTGTCCAAAAACCAAGCCACAATCCTCGTAAGTGCTGCCCCAAGGCCCCAGCACACCTTCCTCACCCCTAAGGCCTCAGGCCATGGTCCACCCTGACCAGAAGCTGAATGATTGCCAGGGCAACAGAACCAATCGAGGGCCACTGGGAGGAGAATCTGCTCCACAAAGGCGACCCCCTGACAGGTTCCAGTCAAGGATGACTGCTACTGCCGGCCGCCCCATATGCTGCACCCTCCCACACCAGATGACCTCACCTCTTATTTTCTAGAGGGACAGAAGCCCAACAGACCCTTTTAACACACATTACAGTTTCAAAACAAGTTCTGCCGGGTCTATAATTTGTGCTTCTCAGTCCAGATTTGAGCTTTTAAAATCAGACAAGTATAGATTCAAACTAGACAGCATATCTTTGGATGTAGGTCATCCAGCCTAGCCTGTCATTTCACAGATGAGCAAACTAAGTCCCAGAGAAGCAGGGGTGGGAGAAGGTATTGTGTATAAAGGGCAGGAGCAGAGCTGTAGCCCAGGTCCCCTGTAGCCAGGAACACCACACTGTGCAATCTGCACTATGTCCTTAGCAGTGAGCCCCAGGAGCTACCCAACCCAGGGCTGCCCGTGATTCTTAGCACAGGGAGCCTTGTGGCCTGCGAGATGGCTCCTCACCTCTGTCCCATGTCTCAGCAGAGCTTCTCCTCTGAGCTGTGCACGAGCAGGGAAATGCACACAGAGTCAGACACCTGCGGCCACTGCTCCCAACATGGTACCCACATTACCTTTGGGCATGATCTGATGCATGGCGACAGACAGGAAGAAGATGGAGTCACTGTAGTAGGTCCCTGAGCCAGCACTGAAGTGCTTCTGCATGGCCTCCACCACAGGGAAGAGCTTGTCCGTCAACACAGCCACATCGTGGAAGATGACCTGTAGCAGGAGCAGGAAAACCCAGCAGTCAGCCAATCGGACCTCACCTTGGGCTGTAGGCGCCCGACACACACCTGCACCCAGGAGGCAGAAACAGAAAGGAACCTGCAAGGACTGCGAGCAGGAGCTGGGGGAGCGGGGCAAACGAGAATAAGGAAAGGGAGGACAAGGAGGGACTGCGTGGAGGCAGCACGAAGGCTGGCTTGGGGACAGGGACATGGAGGGTGGGGATAAGCAGGGGAAGAGAAGTGACAGTGAGGGTGGGGATAAGTAGAGCTTTCCACTTTTGAACCTCACGCCAAGCCACCCTGAAGGAAGCTGGGCATCCAGGGACAGAAAGCCACGCTAAAGCATCAGATCCTAGAACTAAAGATCCTCAGCATGGCTGGGTGTTAATGCTGCTCCGGCCACTGTCACCTCCTAGGGGCCACTACATGTGTGCCATGGGCCCATCAGATGCCCCAGCTCCACCTCCCTTGTCCAGGAGGATGAACAAGGGGCGGATCCAGGCACTAGGAAATGCTAAGCGCTGAGGAAAACTAGCTGCTAACTCCAGCAGCATTCCTGGAGTATTCTGTTAGACCCTCCGGAGGTGCTGTAAGAGGGACAAGGAGTAACCAGCCACCGCCTTCCTCAAAGCACTCAGAAGTCCCGGGGAGCCCCAGCTTCGCAGGTATGAGGTGCTCTCACATACGCGCTCTGACCCTCATGACTACCTCGGCTGCAGGGAGGGAGATTCACTGGTCTCGCCTCCAGATTCCAAGTGAGAGAGGAGAGGCCTCTCCCAGGATGATCCTGCTGCCCAAGTCACACAGCTAACAAGGACAGTCAGGACCTGACCTTGGTCCCTGGATTCCTCCCAATATCAACACCTCCTCTCCTCCACAACGACAGCAAGGGAGGAGACAGCAACAATGTCTAAGATGGGAGTACTGATAGGACCCTGGGTTGGTCTTCCGTGGGACAATATTCCCAGAGATTAGAAGTCCATCCCATATCAGCCTTGGCCTTAGACGATACCACATGACCCCACCCACTACTCCTGTCTCTCGTAGGTTCTCCCTGGGGCTCCACCTGTCCCCCAGCACTGAGATCGCTCCACGGCACAGATCAGGCGCTCACGCCAGAAGCCCGACGTTCTCCCTCCTGCCTCTGCCCTCCTTGGAGATCTGCTGGTGGCCTCCTTTCACCATCCGCTTCCCGAGTAGCAGACAGGACAGGACAAGCTGCCAAGCGCCACTGGCTGCTCCACCACCATGGCACCAAAGTCAAGCCCAAGACCTGCAGTGGCCATAAACTGACCTGTCTGCTTCCCCCTGCTTTGGGTTCTGTCTCTGATCTGTATTTCTCTTGTAGCTCATAGTTCTTATATATCTTATTTCTCATACATTTCTCTTTAACCTACAGTTCTCTTAGTTCACTTGTTTACTTTTATCCTTGGTTCTTAAATTTCCAGAACACTGTTCAACTTGGAAAAACTTGTCCTTCGTGTTGGTTCTCATCACTCCCTAAATTGTTAACTTGTTAAACAATTGTTAAATTGTTGTATGTTAGCTCTCTTAAAAAGCCTCTAGAAAGTTTTCTGACATTTCTAAGACACTGTTTTCCTTCATCCCTTTTCTGGCTGCTTTTTTGCTTTGACTTTGGCTTTTTCTTTCTCGGGGCCTCTCAGCCTGAGATAAGGAGTCCAGTCTCATTACTTCCCCACACAAATCTCAACGTATGTCCCACCTCCCGCACCCCTCTCCTGGCTGCGTCTTGCCCCTGCGACTTCCCTGGCAAGTTTACCTCATCTTTCCCAGCAGCCCTTCTTGCACGTCTATAGTCATTTTCCACATACACAATTTCTGTCTCTCCCGTTGGCTTCAAACACGCAATGGCTCCTCACTGCCCTTGATTACAGTCCAAATTCCCGAGCAAGGCTTAGGATCATCTGCAGTAGTGACTCTGCCTCCCCTCCCCGGGGGATTGGACTGAAATGAAGCAGACATTCCAGTCCCTGCCCTACTAGCCATCCTTTTGTGTCCTATGTCCTTGCTCTTCCCACCTCTGGACCCTCTCTCCCAGCCCCCATCTGCCTGGTAAACTCCTATCCAGTCTTCCGACCTTCCCATTCAGCCCAACTGCACCCGCCATGTCCCCCAGGCTCCTCCTGCACCCCATTTCACATGGGGCTCCACTGACCCTGTTGGACTTGCCCCCCCGAGTCTGTCTCCATATCTGCAAGATGATACTCCTGAGGACAAAGGCTGGGACCACACCACATCCTGTGTCTAGCCCCTGGCCTCACGCTGCCCAGCTCATCAACACCGGTTTGCTAGACTGAAGGAATTGCCCCTTGGGCAAGTCCCTGAGCCTCCCTGAACTTCCACCTCTTCCTGGGTAAAACACAAATGGCAACACAAACTCCTACAGTGGCCATGAGGGTGATCTCAGGGGTTGGCAAGCTGCTCTTGCTCCTAAGCCTGAGCATCCTGCCCTGCTCCCCCTGGTCCCCTGAACCCCCTCTCTGCTCCCAGATCAGCCATCACTCATGAGCCACTGTTTTCCACGGAGTCTTATTACACCTCCCAGCCATCACTAGCAGCTGGAAAGAGAGAAGAAGCTGGGAGCTGACAAGAGGCTCTCACAGAAGCGGAGTCTTTGTGTTCATCAGAAAGGGAGAGAAAGGACAGGCGTGTGCCCGCGTATACGCAGAGCAGGGCCTGCCATAGCGGCAGCCAAACCAGGGAGGTAAAGAGCTAGCAGCAGCCAGCCTGCTCCCCCGCCGGCCCCAGATCACCCCAAAGCTTCACAGGCGACAATTGCAACCCATCAGCATTAATAGATTTCTGAGGACAAACTGTACTCAGTACATTTGTTCCAAGAGCTGTGCTGTGAAGCCCGCGCCCATGAATATTTCATGTAATAAATCCTCTTAAAGATAAATTAGTATGTTCCATGGAAAACACTCATGCAGCAAGAAGCAAATCACAGACACTTGCCAGTGTGAATCCAAATGCCTGGTCCTCCCAAAAACAAAAACTGGTTTGCCTCCTGTGACCTGCCTGGGAACAGCACCCCCGTCTGGTACAAGCTGGAGCCCCAGCCCAGACCAAGGTCTGGTGCCTGGCTTGGGGCACAAGCAAGAGTGAAAAAAGAGGTGACAGAGAGAGAAAACAGCCCACCTCTCTCTCCTTTCCTTCTCCTTTCCCAGCCCCCAGCCTCAGGAGCGGCAGGAAGATTCACCATATAAACTAGGCGGCGAGGAAGACAGACTAGCACCTGTACTGAAGGCAACAGGCTGATGACAGGATCCAAAGCAATGGTCTGTACCAACTGAAACGTATGATTTTTTTTTTTTTTTTTTTTTAGGGATGGACGCAAACAAAAAGTCAAATCACTATCGGCAACCTTTATTCATTTGTTGATATGTACATATTAAAATGTAAGAGTTCCATTCGTTATAAAGAGCTGTATTTCTCACAGCCAGCCTACAAAATAATTGCTTCCTGAAACCCTTCGTGTGCATCAACACTACCGCCTCTGTCACCCTGCCTTGGGCTGAGTCACCAGGGTGCCACCTGGAGTGATGCAGCTCGCGACACACTCTGGGGATCCTGGTACTGGCACCGTCACCCCACCCCACGGCATCGCCTGTGTTCAGACGGGCCAGGCAGCTGGGCATTTTCACCAGCCCGTGTTCACGCATCTGTAGCCACCCACTAGTCTCCCTTTTATTAGCAATCTTTAAAAGGTTTGTTTATAACAACACTTCACACTTACAGTTCTGAGGTCAGCCACCCACAAGGAATAACTGCTAAATGTGTGTTCAATTTCTTTGCCTCCTTTTTCTTTTTAATTAGTTCTGTCAAGGGATTTTTAGAAGCATCTAAATTCAGTACAGCTAGGATTTTTTTTTTTTTTTTTTTTTAGGCTAAGGTGTCACAAACAGTACTTTACTGTCCAAAATAAGGTATGTAATGAAGAAAGCACCCTGTAACATCAGGACTTTAGAAAGACTTGACCCAACTGAAAAGATAGTTTTCAAAAGAGGGAGGAAGAGAGGGACAGGGGAATCTCGCCTTGTATTACACCATGCACAGCAGCTCTTGACACTTCTAACATGGAGACAGAGTGGCCAGCCATGGCAGAGCTCGGTGCCAGGCAGGAACAAGGCACCTCTGCCAGCCAGGCCTCAGCTCCTGGGCACATTCACTGAAGCCTAAAGAGACGCCAAGCCCTTTGGTGGGGAAAACTCCCTTATTGCTGGGCAAGCCCCACTGGAACTCAGCTCTCGGCTATGCACCTGGAGCCAGGAGGGCAGTAGTGAGGGCTGGCGCTAGGCACAGAAAGACACCAGGCTTCCAGGAAAGCGTGAGACCAGCAGCAGTGCCCAGATGGCTGGAGGGCAGGCCTGCAGGAGACTGTCCCCGAAGAGCTGCAGAAGGGGATGGTGACAGCATAAAGCCCAGGGAAGGCTACCCTGACTCAAGGTTGCTGGCGCACCCAGCTGAGTGTCAGACCCATCTCCTGCAGGAACAGCGAAAGGTCTTGGCTGCCAGAGCGCTGGAAGGAGGGGAGGATGCTGTGACAACATCTGGACTCCGCCAGGCAGCCGCCAGCAGCAACAGAAATGCCCAGCAGGAGTGGCAAGCACAACTCCATGCAGTCACATCTTGCACGGGAGACATCTGACAACAGTGGAGTTGGGGACGCTAGGACTTCAGAGGCAGAAGCACAGTCCTGGGTTCCTTGCTAAGATGCCACCTAGACGCCTGGCAAGCTGGGTGGAAACACTCCTGGGCCACAGCTCCCCTACAAATGGGAGAGAAGCCTGGAGATGTAGCTCAGTGGTGGAGCACTGCCTAGCGGGCTGAGGCCCTGGGTTCAACTTCCTGCACCACGGGAAAAGAAAAGGAACGAACCATGGCGACTGTCTTAGGAGCTTTCATGAGCAATGCAGCGGGCACTCAGCAAAGCACAGTGGACATCGTTACAGCTAGAATGCCTCTTCCACG